TGTTTGCATATCCTGGTTCTCCTGTTCACCATAACTCTAAGAATGTCATCTGAGACTGCACCTTCTCCCTTTTCCCTCTTACTAACTCTCAGGACCACTTTATCCTCCTTTATCATCCCTGTAAAGATCCCATCTAATCCATCAATTATCAACTGATGCTAGCATTTCTTAAACCTCCTGGTACCCTGGCTTCCATTTGGTTATCCAATCTCATCTTCACACTATCTTCTAATCACATCAAATTGATCACTGTGCATTCCATGCTTGTTTTTTCCTCAACTTGCCTTAAGAAGTCTGCTATCATACTTATCACTCAAATTTATTAATATAGTTTTTTGGCTTTAATTCATTTTGCTCTCTCTCTTACACTTCTTGCCAAATAGAAACTTAATCTCCCTGACCAGATCCATGTGAATTATTCTTCAGGCTCTCCCTCATGATTCCAATCTCCATAATGATTAAGACAACAAAGACACTGGAGCATCTGTTATACAAGAGGCTGAGAGCACCAGGACTCTTCTGCCTGGGGAACAGAAGGCTATGGGGGAATCTTATCCATGTGTATAAATACCTGGTGGGAGGGTGCAAAGAAGACTGAGACAAACTCTTCTCAGTGGTATCCAGTGAATGAACAAGAGGCAAGGGGCACAAATCAAATCAAAACAAACAAAAAAATAAATCTATTCAAATACAAGAAAAAAAGCTTTGATTGGTTTTATTTTATATTTCTTTTTTGAACTCTGAGAATAGTCAAGTACTGGCACAGGTTTTCCAGCAAGGTTATTAAGTCTCCATCCTTGGCGACACCCAGAACCCAGCTGGACCACAGCCCTGAGCAGCCTGCTGTGGCTGAGCCTGCTGTGAGCAGGACGGTGGATGAGATGATCTCCAGACCTCCCTTCCCACCTCAGCTGTCCTGTGAATCTGTAACCTGTTTCCTGACACTTTTCTATACTCCATCAATTCTGAAACCAGTCTATATTTGAGACTAGCAGAGGGTACCTGTCCTCTAGACTGCATAGCCTCATTCAGATTTTTCCTTCAATCTCCTGTGCTTTAGCCTACAGCGAGGGTGAAGCAGAACTACAGCATACATCACTGTAACGATCCCTCAGTATCACCTCTCTGGGAGAACAGGAAAACAAAGCACAGCTACAGAGAACTAACTACATCAAATGTCGACAAAAATCAGCATTCATGAGGTGATCACGCATCTTAAGAAATTCCTTTCTCCCATGATTCAATGGCACATCTGTTCACTGTCGCATACAACCACCAGCACGAGCACTGATCTTGCAATTTAATGCTAAGCAAATAACATGATATTTTACGATGTCACAAAATTCAAATGTAAATGTGCATTAGTAAGAACAAATTAGTAAGCCATTAGCATTAAGTGATTAGCATTCTCCCTTAACTGCACTGTCAGTACTACTTACAGAAACCTGCACAGAATCCTCTAGCAGTTAAATGGCACATCCATCTCCCAAGAGCAAGGTTTCAAAGACTCCTCGCTCACTAAAAGGAAAAATCAGCTCTATCAAAAGCCAACATTTTCTGAAAGTCGAACAGGGTCGCCTCATTTTCACACTGCATGCCTGCTTTTGAAAATCCCATCCCATCTGGCAATACTCACATCACTATTAAATAAAATAACATGTCTTTGCTTTACCAAACCAAATATTCTCTATGACTATACTACAATAAGGGTTCAACATTATCAAAGTGATCACACAGAACCTTGTTCAGTCAGAGTACTCCTGTGGGGATTAAAGCTACTACCACAACTTAGACAAACTTGGTAAGTTCACTAAACTCTTGAAAACCTGCATATAATGATTAGATGGAAAATAAATTGCATGAAAACACGAGTAAGAGAAAATTTTAATGGTAATATATATTATTCACTACTCGGTCTTTTAGCTGAACATGCACAGTTGGCTTTACTAGAACGAAACAATTTGTTCATTCTCCTCATTTCATAAACATGATACAAGAAAAATTTACTCAACATACTGTAAACCCCTACCAGTTTATGACAGACAGTAACACCCAAAGAAAACAGCTACATTTTAGACAAGCACTGAGAATCACAACAGTCCCCCCTGGAATTTCATCTCCCTAACAAGCTTTAACAATGTTTTTGTCACCACCAGCAGAACTCTATGCACATATGGAAAAGAAATATTATGTCACCTATTTTTTTTAATTCTGGTTTACCAAAGAGCTAATCTGTATAAAATCATTACCAAGTTTTTATACAGCGGATCAACACACCATCACAGAGCCACAAACACATGTATCAGACACAGCTCCTGTTCTGATCAGCATTCGCAGCCTAAGGGGCTACATGCTCCCACACCCTGAAAACTGCAAAGCACAGGCAGATCACCACCATCTCAACATCCCCACCAATGATGGCTTGGTAACACCAACCTGACACTGCACAGCAGCGCTTTTGTGAAATACCACAGGACCAACATGCACTTTTAATAGCACACATAGGGGTATGTGGTCTGTGAAAGAACAATCAAGATCACAACCAAGCCACAAACCGACCTATTTAGAGTAAATTCTGTTCCTGTTTCTCCACACATCCCCAAGATCCACATAATCATGTAACTGCAGGTTTAAATCTTTTTAACTGATGCAGATTTTCAATAAGGATTAGTGTCCTGTTAACTTCAGCACAGCAACAAAGGAGGTGCACAATCAGACCAAGTCCTCACACACCCAAAAGCAACTACTGCAAGATGATTAAGGGAGTGGAGCATCTCCCTTATGAGCAAAGGCTGAGGGAGCTGGGTCTCTTTAGCTTGGAGGAGACTGAGGGGTGACCTCATTAATGTTTATAAATATGTAAAGGGCGAATGTCAGGAGGATGGAGCCAGGCTCTTCTCAGTGATGCCCAATGACAGGACAAGGGGCAGTGGGTGTGAGCTGGAACACAGGAGGTTCCACTTAAATTTCAGAAGGAACTTCTTTACAGTGAGGGTGACAGAGCACTGGAACAGGCTGCCCAGGGAGGTTGTGGAGTCTCCTCCTCTGGAGACATTCAAAACATGCATGGATGCCTTCCTGTGTAATCTCATTTAGGTTCCTGCTCTGGCAGAGGGGTTGGACTAGATGATCTTTCGAGGTCCCTTCCAATCCCTGACATTCTGTGATTCTGTAATACTCGTTCAGTCTATTTAGAAAAGAGGGCAACTTCAACAACATATCACCTTGACACAGATGATCATTTAAAAGTGTGCTGATAACAGCAAGCCTACCCTGTGAAATTTCCCTAACGTTTTTTACAGCACAAATGGTAGAAAAGTTTGCTGTTTTTCTTGCCATCTATCTTTTCAGGTTTCCTATACACAAGCTATACAAATTCTGTCCTCCTCACTGTTTGTTAACATATAGTGGGCCAAATTAATGACTGGTGTATGAAATAGGTATAAACCATATTAAGGCAAGACAGTTTGAAAATAAAACTTGACACATGAGTGGAATTAAGAGGATTAGAGTTACACAGCCTAGGCCAGCGGTCTCCAAAGTGGGGGGTGTGCAAGACAATCCACTGGGGTGCAGGAAGAAAATATCAGAATTTCAGTAGGATGCATATAATTTGTAAATAAATATACATATATTGGGGGCACATGCTCCAAAAACTTTTACTGATGGGGTGCACAATCAAAAACGTTTGGGAACCACTGGTTTAGACTCTAAAGATGGACTCATTTATGTATTTGGATCAGTTGACGGGGGGCTTCAGACAGTGGGCAAAGGGTTTGGGTGGAGGGTCCAGGTGAGGCTTGTCTGGGCCATCAGGGCCCATCAGTGCACCCAGGGCCCTGACAAGAGCCCACCCTAGAGACAGCTAGAGGAAAATACACATTGGGAAG